GAGGGGGTCCTGCCCCCGGGCACGCAGCTATGGGGGGGCCCCGGCTGGGGGGCCCGCCCCCGGGCGCATGGCTGGGGGGGCCTGCCCCCGGGCGTGCAAGTGTCCCCGCCCTCTGGCGCCCGGCGGGCAAACGGCCATGCCACCTGGCGCCCGGCAACCTCAAATGGTTGGGGACCACTGGATTAAGCTTTCCCCAGTGCCATAAGAGTAACCCTGATAAATGAGCATAACCCAGAGTATTGGGCAAATCTGGTAACAGATCATCTATTAATACTGCCAAAACTTCTCTTAGCTCTCCCCTAAATACAGGTATATGGTTGCTTTTAATTTAAAAAAACTGAACAAATGTTACATTCCCAGTGATTGTGAACTTTCACATCTTCATGTGAAGAGTCAAGACAGATGAGACCTGTGGGGAGGTAGGGGGGGAAAGAGGGTGAAACCAGGAGCAAACAAGAGAAACCATTGAGAGGCTTTAATTGAGGGAACAAACACCATCAGATTATTTTTTAACCTACAGCCTCTCCAGCATGGAAAATGCTGTCTACATAGTGGTGAAAGGGTGAAAAACAACAGTAAAATACGAGAAAAGGAATGAAAGGTATACAAGCATGAATTAGCAGAGATTAAGGTTATGAAGCAGGGACAGGAAGATCACCCATAGAATTATTTTTTACATAAATTAATGTGTGGGTCACTCACCTCCCTCAGCATATTGTTTTCCTTCTCCTTTTGTTCCAACAGGCTCTCCAGATGATGGACATGCATTTCCGCTTCAGCCAACCGCCTTATTCGCTCATGATCCTCCTCTGTGGCTTTTGAAGACAGTCCTTTACTTTGCAACATCTCCAGCAGTTTTTTGATCGACTCATCACGTGCATTTAAGGTCTGCTTCTGAGTCTCAATGCGTAGTTCCATCTCTTCTAAGGTTTTGCGCAGCAAGAAAAGTTCCTTGGTCTGGCGCTCATGCTCTGCATGAAGCCGTTGGAAGTTCTCCTCTGTCAGCTCCGCCACAAATGGTTCACTGGCTCTGCTGCTGCTATCCTGCTGGAACAGCTGATTCAGGTCCCGCTGGATCCGAAGCTCATCCTGGAGAGCCTGGATCGTCATCTGCATGTGCTAGAAGCAGAAAACTAAATCAGTGAATTTCCTTCCTTAGTGAAAACTTAGGAATATATGGGCTGCTTGAATTCTCTTGACCAATCAGCCAGAAGAAATACAAAACAACTGACAATACTCAACATTTTTGACAGCAGATAACTGTAATTTCCCCAGATCTTTTCTGGGGGAGATGAGTTATTGAACTGCAAATTTCAAGGCCCTGAATGATTTTCTAACACAAAATTTTCCTGCCTCTAGCAATCTGTGCTGCAAATTAATGTCCAGAATGGAAGAATATTACCAGGAAAAAAATCAGTGCATTGCAAAGTATAAATGAACACTTGGCTACTCTGTTATCGTTTGTTCACCTCAAATCAGCATCAAAGCCTCAAGAACTAGAGCAATTCATAGCTTATATCAGAAAGCAGACAAGGAATAAAAAGATAATGGTTAACAACGCTGACTGTTTAATGGAGTGAGGGAGGAAACACTGTGGTAGCTCATGAAAGAGCAAATATCAAAATTACCCATACCCCATGAAACGTTGTTATTAATAAGAAGTTAGCATATGACTGCAGAATAATTAGCTCCATTACAATACAACACCCACATAACACAACAGTAGTGAGTCTCAGAGCCTGGGTAAACTGATTCAGGCTTGTAGGGCTCCCAATATGCAGCTAAAAGTAGCAATAAGATGGACTGGGCTCTGGAATCCAGTGATTTCAGAAATTTCAGCCCAAGTGGGAATGTGTACACCAGGAGTGGTCAAGATGCAGCCAACAGGGGAGGTACCTGTGGCTTTAAACAGCTGGCTGCTCTCTGCTCTGGATGCTGGGGAAGGAGAAGGGAGACTTTGCATGCTGCCCATGCCCCCAGCAACATTTCTCAGCTCCTACTGGGCAAAAATTGGGGGCAGGAGCAGCATGAGAAGTCTCCCCCCCCCCCTCCTATCCCCTTCCCCAACATGTTGGACTCTACATATTCCTCTGAAAAAGGGAACAGGGAAGAAGTGATACTTGCTACTTTATAAACACATTCATCTAGTTTATCTTTGGGATTTTAATAGTTAGTGCTTTGATCATTCGTGCTTTTAATAAATACTGTTGTTATACAAAATGAGGCATGAAGGCAGGCCGGGGGGCTGTAAACAAGTATTTCAGTATTACTTTCCTCACTATGTGAGAGTTCAAAGATGCCAAGCTCCATTATTTGGAGTCACTCCGCTGCACATGTGAATTATCTCCATCTTTTGAGGTTTATGTGCCTTTTTCTTGTATTTCTACTTTTATGACACTTAGCAATTACTGTTTCACTTCAGCAGAAAATAATACTTAAGATATAATGATGGTTCTGAATCTTTCACACAGGTGTAGTCCTGAAAATGATTGATTATTTGTTGTGTGCTGTAAGGTAAAGCGTATGGGGTAATATGAATTTCTACTCACTCATTTATTTACAAAATGAAAGAAACGTATGCTCTGAAAACACCATTACCAGGAACTGTAAAGCATTTTTAGCTATCCATCTTCTTTGACACATGAAATTGACAGTGTCACTTCTCAAAGCTTCAGCGGGCTACGTGTTTACACAGTTACTCGCATTTTAGTATCCCAGTTTCCACCTAAAAACATCTCCCCAAATTCAACATGAATACTTTTCCACAGATGTAAATAATCAACATCTGAGCTGAGGAACTGAAAGCAATTTTTAAGTGGTTCAAATTAGGGATGTAAGTGACTAGATGACTACCTGATAAACATAGGCATATCAGTAGTTCAGTCACTACTCAACTAGTTGCTTCTCCCTCCTTACTGCCTCTGTAACAGAGGCAGCAAGGGGGGGAGCCAGAACCAGTGCTGGGGGGAGCTTAAAAGCTGGTCCCCCCCCAGCATGGTCTCCGTGGGAAGGAGGGAACATGCAAGGCAGAAATGAAGCAGGGAAATGGCTCAGGCAGGGACTGAAGCATGCCAGATCCCGACTGTTGTGCAGACTCCCGCTACATTTCAAAGGCTGAAACACATCCATTCCCTGCTGCACTTCTTCCTTCGAAATGTAGCAGGAGCCCTGTAGGGCTCCTGCTACATTTCAAAGGCAGAAGCACCCGCACTTGGGACCTGGCACAAGCAGGGACTGCTTCAGTCCCAGCTCGCTCCAGTTCCCTCTGCACCTCTGAATTTTAAATGTAGCTGTAGCTGCTGAAAATAAGGTCTCTTGACTGAAGTCCATAACAATGGACACACCTCAGTTCCTGCCCAGCTGCTGGGAAACTGGAAAAGGACCTAGACTCAGAGTGAAAAACTGTCTATTATGGTAAACAAAGAGGTGATTCAGTGGGACTCTGATGCCCCAGAAGGGGAGGGCTAATACAGTAATCTGTCCAGAGGGCTGAGTCACAAAGGAGCACTGTGTGTCTATGACAGGGTGTGTATACCCCACACTGAGACAGGAGGGGTTAAAACCCTGTGAGCAGAGGAAGTCCCTTCCCTCCACCCAGACCGGATATGCTCCAAATGCTGGAGCGGTATAAAAGAGAGCAGCTCAGCTCAGTCTGGACTGGACACTGGAGGAGAAGGACCTCCTGCAGGAGCTCCAGAGACGTGCCAGCCAGAGACCTAGACAACAGGACCCAGAGACCAGGAGATCACCTCAAGCCGCCAGTACTGAAGGAGCCCCAGGGAGAGGCTGTTGCTGGGGAACCAGAAGACTCAGAGCCCATGTGGAACGTCCCCGTGCCAACTCTGGTAGGAAGTGACCCAGGGAGGCTGCGGGAGTGGTATCTCCCATTGAGTGAGCTCAGCATATTGCAGTTGGATTCCCCGCTGAGTGACTGGTGGAGCACTTTCCACTAACAAGGCCGTGCATCGGGACTGGATGGAGTAGGGTGGGCCCAGGCCCTTAGACTGGGGAAGTTACCCCAAAGTGTTGACTCTGGACATTGGGCCATGCTGCCCTGAACCAAGAGCTACCCTTATTTACTCTAGCCATTAGACTGTGTTGCCCTAAACCAAGGGCCATCCTCATTGACTTTAGCCATTAGGCTGTACTGCCCTGGACTGCGGGCTGTTGGTGCAGGCTGACAGAGGTTGCTGATGATCCGGCAGCTGATCAGGCATACTCCTAGGTACCCGCACCTCAAGGGATGGAGTGTGCATAAGCCACAACAGTTCTGCAGAGTGCAGGGGGAAGAAGTATGAGCAACCATTGGAAAGTGAGCATTAGACCTGAAAGGAGTTAATACTCAGACATGGCCACAAATTGGTGCTCCAACCCCATTACAGAATATTAAAGAAAGCCTCTGAGAACAGAAGGTGGAATGACTGTATGGTGTCTTCCAGGGAGACAAGGATTACCAGTAGTGGGATTCTACTCCAAGTTCTCTCTCAAACACTTAGTAGTCACATGCTTTCCCAGCCAGCATTTCAGCATGTATGAAAACTTAAAGACCTCACTAAAAAGCCCTCATCAGTCTTCTCTGAAATTAGAGTATTCCAAATGTCAGGAAAAAGATGGGCTGCACAGAGCCGGGCAGTAACCATACTCCAATTATAAGTAGAGAAACAAGGCCCACTAAAGCAAAACCCAAATCACAAATAAAAGAAAATAAAGTATTTTTCTCTCTCTAGTTCTCAAAGAGTTATCATTTTTGACAACACCTCTGAGATACAGATTTTGCTGAATGCACACACAAGGCAAAAGCCTTTCTGTCTATGACATTCAGTTGCAGTCCATGCAGAAAAGCTGACAAAGGGCTAATGTCAGGTGTCCAGTAGGGCCTGCTGAAGATGACTAAGAGATACCAGGATCCTTATTTATATGGACATGATGGAGTGATTTATAAAGTATGTAGCTTAGCTTGAAAGTGAAGCTCTGATTCTAATAGGATTTAATTTTAAGTGGGAGCCAAGCAAATTAACTCATATTAAGAAAACCTTACACTGATTTATTTCAGACAGCAGACAAGCAAAAAGACAAATGAATTCTATAGATAAGCTTAGATTGTTGGAAATACACTTGTCTGTGGAATCAGACTCACAAAAATGACTCATTTGGATTAAGGGGATGTCATTAAGCAACCACACACCCACAAGAAACTGTAAAAGAGAAGCACCCACAGTAGATTTAAATCGTAAAAGAGAACAGACAGGAGTAAACAAATTGATAGTCTTATAATCCAAAAGAAACCAAGACTGAGATGCAGATATCTTGTTCTTAGAATCTAAAATCTACAGAACAAATACATTTTAACTGAATACTGTCAGATTCTGAAAATTCTGTTTGGCTACCAATTTTGTACCAGAATGCACTTCTAGTAGGTCACAGGGCTTCTAAGTTATAAATTAATTTGTTCTCCCTGGCAGAAGTTATGATAGACTAGTCAAAGGAAAAATGTTTTTCTCTCTCTATAGTAGTCTATACCAGCTAGCCTTCCGTGTCTCAATTTCTAAAGGTACTCAACTCACGCAGTTAAGAGGAAACTTCAATATTAGGAATTTCTGAAAGCATAAAATCTAAAATTTGATTTTGAGTAATGTATTGGTCATCTGTAACAGACTGACAGATTACATTTTTAAATAAAAACATCAAAATTTGTAATAAATTATCTTCTGTGCCACCAGTGGATGTACGGAAAAGCTAGAAGCCTGCTGATACAGGTGAAATTTCAAGTAAATTTTATGAAGTAAGAATGGATTAGCGACTTGGACCTAAACTTCCATTCTGCACAGAACTGGATGCTTTGGTTTCAGGAGGGAAAATGCAATGCAGTTATGTTCTGGATACAGAGGCATACCAAGACAACTTGTAAGGAGAAAAACTAAGGTGTTTGTCAGTGAAGACTAGGAGCTGTGGCAAGAAAACCAGGGGAAGAGAGGCAGGAACATGGTCAGGGACCCTGGAAGAGGGGAGGGGAGGCTAAAGACAAGATGAGACAGGAATTGATACAGATATAGGCTGGAGAAGATAAGGGCAGACAGGGTCAGGCTCAAGGGGAAATGGGGCAGAAAAATGTATTAGCT